GTTTTTATTATGACTTCCTTTTCAGCTCCTAGTCCTCCATCGGATCTAAAGGCCAAAGAGATGCCCGGAAACCGAGTGCTACTGACGTGGACAGCGCCCAAGACCTCACACGACATCGTCAAGGGGTATCGAATCTATTATACGCCGCCTAACCCTCCGGCCCGCGAAGCTGTCGGCGTCTCGAAGACCAACAGTTTTCTGATCGACAAACCCTTCGAGACGAGCGTTAAGTACACCTTTTGGGCGACAACTCTGACCGTAAACCTCGAGAGCGAGTACTCGAATAAGACATCACTGGTGATCGGATCCCTTGTGACCATCAGTAACCTCAGCGCCAAAACCGTAACCAATTCGTCGGTTGCCATCGAATGGGTGTCGAAGTCTAAGTTCGAGGCAATCAAATGGCGAGTGGAATACCGGTGCGACGACTACTTCTTGGGCTTCATTGCCAACGTGACGGTCGATAAGCCGCAGGTGACTGTCGATGGCTTGTCTCCTGGCGTTAACTATCAGTTCAAAGTTCTGCCGATAGTTAACGGACAGCTCTGGAGGAATGGCGTCGAAGACAACATCATATCTGTGGTGACGAACGGCTCGCAACTGCCGTCGGTGGCCATCACTGACAAAGTGGTCGAGGGATCCACTCTTCACCTGACATGGATTCCACCCAATCATCAGTCACTCAAACGAATCCATTGGACGTACGGTGTCTTCTATGGCGTCGAAGAGAAACGACTCAAACTCTACGGCAAAACGAATGACACGAAACTCACTCTCAATGGTCTGCAGTCGTGTGAGTCCTACATAATACAAGTGCGAGTGATGAAGCCGTATGGCGTCGGACCGGCTGTCGACTCGACGATATTGAAGACACAGTACGACCCGACGGCGCCGCCAAAGAACCTGCGATACAGTAATACAGTGACCGATAAGACAAAGTATGTCCTCTCGTGGAACTCCTCGTGCGATCGTATGGCCGACACATCGGTGGCCTATAAGATATGTGTCACCGATTTGGTGAAGAAGGGGGATATTTGGTTCCAATTGACTCCGAGAAACCAGACGTCCGTCGATATGCCGCTTATCGTTCACTTCGGAGCCGTGTATGACATCAAAGTGGGAACCGATAGACCGAACGCCAGGTTTACGGCGCCTCTAAGGCTGACACCGACTCCATTACCCCGGGTGTCGAAACTCGATGGCGTCCAACAGCTCAACGGCTCGCTGTATATCATATGGAAGACCATTGAGGACTCGTTTTGGCCCAAAGAGCTGCACAATCATAGGTATGGCTTCCGGTGATGTTTATAGAGATTTAGTGAAAACTAATAGTTTTCCCAATGAATACAGTTATGAATACAAAGTATATATAAGTCAGACGCCGAACACCAGCGATGGGGACGTGATTCGGGTGCGGAGACCACCACTCAGTTTCCCCGCACACCATGGGGTCTATTACTACATCGCTGTGGCTCTGGTCGACGAACACGACTACTCGGGACCCGTTTCCGACACCATTATCATTGGCAATAGTCTGGCCTCAAGTATGCCATCAATTGATTGTCTCATTAGTTGTGTATTTGAATTAATTTGCGAATCGAAACCCATTTCCCATTTGAAGGTTCGGTGATAATCGAGAAGAAGAGTGCCATAGGAGTGGTGATAGGGATCGGCGTTATTGTGGTGGCGCTGACGGTAGCGTTGACTGTGTTTGTGATGAGACACCGACGCCTTCAGCGAAGTTTCCTGTCGTTCGCCAGCAGTCACTACAACACCCGCTCGGGTTCCGCCACTTTCACCACTAATGACGGCTTAGGTATGCCTTTCACTCATTGTCTAGCTGTTGATTGTGTCGACTATTATCTAATTTTTATATGACTTACAGAAGAGGAGGACGAGTCGCCGGTGTTTCGCGGCTTTTCAGACGACGAGCCCCTCGTTTTGGCCTAAAAACCCATTCATCTCCTCATACGTTGTGATCGATTCATACAATTCGTGAAATACTTGTGTTTCGGAGTCTTTTGAACACATTTCTAGACAATTATTACGAGATTTTATAAATTTATTAAATTTATTACTATATTATGTTTTTTCATATTTAATACGAACTCATTTTCTCTGT